TGTTTTTGTACATGGTGTGAGATATAGGTGTTGTTTCATTCTTTTGCAGTTGAAAATCCAGTTTTCCCACTACCATTTGTTGAAAGACTAACTCATGCCCTTTGAATGTGTTTTAGCCCTTTAACAGAAATTACTCTGTTTCCCCGAAAGTAAGACATCCCCCCGAAAATAAGACCTCCCTACAATTTTGCCTCTCACTGAAGTATAAGGCTTCCCCCCAAAATAAGACCTCGCCAAAAATAAGGCCCCTGCACTACCATAACTCTGGACTCTGGACCGTAGCCGGGGCACCACCATGCAGCTCACTGTTGGCCGCAGCGCAGCTGGAGCAGACAGGAAGTGCGAGATCTCTTTTAATAAAACAATAAATGTGTACCACATTCTTCATGGAAAAATAAGACATCACCTGAAAATAAGATCTAGCACATCTTTGGGAGCAAAAATTAATATAAGACATAGTCTTATTTTTGGGGAAACAGGGTAGGTGTCTATAGATATGTTTTTGTATTTCTGAGTTCTTGATTGTAATCCTTTGGCCTTTACATCTATTGCAATACCAGTACCAGACTGTGTTGAATACCATAGCTATATAAAACTCAAGTAGATGCTGACTTATTGTGATTCTTTAGAATACGGTAGAAATGCCCCTCTGAGTTTCCAAGACTATAACTTTGAATGGAATAGAAATTCCTGGGCTATACAGTAGGTTTTAAAGTCTGGGAGTGAAAGGTCTGCTAGTTTGTTTTTATTCTTTAATAGTGCTTTATTTATCCTAGGTTACCTTACTTTAAATATAAAATTGGTGATTAGTTCTTCCATTTCTTTGACGAATTGTGGTGGAATTTGGATCAGAATTGCATTGACTTTTAAAAGTATTTTCAGTAATATTGACATTTCACAATGTTTAGTCTGCCTATCCAGCAGCATGGTAACTTATTCCATTTGTGTAAATGTATTTTGGTTTCTTGAAGGAATGTGGTTTTTTTGTTTGTTTTCTTTCTGTAAGTCTTTTGGTTCTCTGGTAAGATTTATTCCTTGTAGTTATTGTAAATGTTGTTGCTCTTTGATATCTTTTCCAGTGTCATCATCCTGAATATACAAGAATCCAACTTATTTTTATATGTTGATCTTATCTCCTGCTACACTGTCTAATTTTTCAACTAGTTCAAGCAATTTTTAAATTATATCTTTGGGATTTTCTATGGATAGGATTTTATCATCTGCAAATAAATAGATTTTTATTTCTTTTGTGTCTATGTAGATACCTTTAATATATTTTTATGTCTAAGGCTCTATCTAAAATTTACAAGACTATATTAAATAAAAGTAATATCTTTAAAAAATAATAGTAAATTAATCTTAAATAAATAAATAAAAGTAGTGACAGACAACAACCCTGTCTAATTCCCGTTTGAATTTTCTCTCCACTGACATCAACCTAGTGCAGGATCAAGGAATTAAAAAAGTTGTACTCTCATACTCTTGAGTTTCATTCCACATTTTACTCTCAGTAGGACCATCTAATGCATAGGCTCTCAAATTTGTTTGGGTTACCAACCTCCTTCCAGAACAAACAAGCAAACAAAAATAAAAACTCAGTATTCCCACTTGCAATTCAGTACTTTTGTATTGTGGCCCATGATCCAGGATAAAGGGTAAAGATTTGCTTCTGCAGCCCTGCTGGATTGTTTCGGCACCCCGCCCCCATCCCCCAGGTTATAGTATAGCCCATTTTGGGAAACACGTGATCCCTTTCACAGCAGTTGACAGTGGTAGCCGGGCACCATCAAGTTTCCTCTGGTCTTAGGGTTGTGGAGCCTGATATTTGTGTGGCCCATTACACTCCATTGCATTTATTGTTTCCACGTGTCTTCAGTTTTCATCTCTCTTCTTTCCTCTGGCCAAGGTGCACGCCCAAGACTTTGAGGGCATGAGACCCAGGTGCAGAGTTATTCTTTGCAGCTCCCATTGACATTAGCCAGCAGTTAGGAAGGTGCCCATCCAAGGAGCTGATTAAATAAAGATTGGTGCAACTTAGATGAAGGAGTGCCAGATAGCTGTGAAGAAGGTGGAACACATGCACCATCTTCATTCATACATTCCTTAGGGACAGAGGCGTGGGACTCATAGGGGTGTCCAGATGCTTCCATTTGTAATAAAAAAAGAGAGGGTGCAGAGGGTACAACAAAGGGGTGTGTGCATGCTCAGGAAAACTCTGAAAGGCCTAGTTCCCCCAGGAACAGGGAACCCTGGTCATGAAAGAGGCAGCAGGTGGAGACTGAGCCTCCCTCAAACACCAAGCATCAACACCAGGGTCCTAAACTTCGGCCACTAGTCTTCTTCTTTTTGTTTGGTGAAACTAATTTGTATGTCACAAAAAAACCGAGCTCTGTTTACATTTTACTTTTCTTCCTTTTAAAGTCACTTGGCTCTGATGGGTAAGAAATCTGAAGGGTTTTTAAGGCTTTGATCCTTCTCTCTCTCTCTCTCCTTAAAAAAACAAACAATCCCACACCAAGCGGTGAAACATAAAGGGAGTGCACAGAGCAGCAAGGGGAGCAAAGCAACGAAGTTCCTGAGGAATCCTGATAATAGACTTCTGACTTGGAGGGCAGAGGTTAGCACCTCATCATACCCGGTCAGAAAACATTCACAAGAGTCAGCAGATAGACCTGGAATTATATAGGCTATTTTTTCACTCTCTCTTTCTTTTTCTATGTCTATTTATATCTGATAGGCAAGATAAACAATCCTGAGGAGAAAACAACGGGACCAACAGTTACGGGTGGGAGGCATGGGAGAGGAGGAGGTGGGGGAAAGGGAGGGGGAAGCCAACAAACCCAGGGACAAGGGAACAACCAGAGATGTGAAATCAATGACAAGGAGGGCATGAATGCCTCGTGGATTTTGATCCAATACAATATCCTTGCTCGGAGCCGTCAATACACAGAGAGGACCATATGGCCGACCCCACTACGAGACATGAGCCCCCACCCCCCACGGTCGCATCTTGACTCAAGGCTCTCCAGCTGCAAGTGATGAAAATCTTCGTCAACGTATGCTTCCTTAGCTCGAGCCCAATACATCTCCCACCGCCTCACAGACAAGCCATGACTTCCCTGACCTAACTTGTTGGGTCTCCGAACGGGGGCTCAAGATGCCCCATCCCTTTCTCTGCTCTCCCGTCCTTCCCAGGAGTTCTTTCCCTGCCTCAATAAAATCTCAACTTCACATTCTTGGCTAAATTCTATCTCTCTTCCAAGTCTCTGTCTCCAACCTCTCATCTTGGTGCATGAAACCTGGGAGGAGTAAGAGGTCTTGGCGACCCGCCCCCCCTTGGGTGAGTGCAGTGCCCCTCT